CCCCAAAACCCCAAAACCCCAAAACCCCAAAACCCCAAAACCCCTAAATTCAAAGAGAATTGAAATAATTAAATATTTTAAGAATGATCTTCGGTGATGAAACTGGACCCAAGCAGTATGGAGCCCCGACCGGTTCGGTTGCCGCTACTATAAAGTCTAAGATGGAAGGCGGAAATATCTTCGGCGATGCAGAAAAAACCAGGAAGGACAATATCAGGAATTTGTATCAAGAACAACTCAAGCAACAACTTCATGAGAAAATGGCAGAGAAGGAAGCAGAAAAACAACGGAAATTGATTGAAGACCAGCAAGAAGAGGAGCGCATCAGGAAAGACCTAGAAGAGCTCAAACAACAGTATGCCAAAGAGATGAAGGAAGATGGCAAAGACAAGCCTCCAGAGCCCTTCGATTTCGGAAATGTCGATAATGGACCCAGAGATAATAAAAGTGTCTATAGCCGGCCTCCTCATAGGTAAGCTTTAGGACAACCCAACAATAGAGATTCAAGGAAAAGTGTTAGGATCAAAATACAAGACAAAATAGAAGAGCCAAGGACAGCACACAAGATACAGGACTACAACCACCCTTTGACTCATGATTACCAGAATAATAAACTTCATTCGGACTATGGCCACTCTTTAGACTCTGATATCGCTAGATTAAGAATGGAGGTCAACCTCCAGCACAAAAGTTTGATCGATCAAATCAGTGCATCTAAATTCAAAGCAAAGCAAGCTGCTCAAGAAAGAGATTTGGCCAGAAACGATCTTGATCGGCTGATCGAATCCATGCGTAACAAGACAAATAGGTACTATAAACATGAAAAGCCACTAAATAACCTTAAGGATGAGATGATGCATGCCAAATTGAGAAGTACAAGAGATTATAGGGGATCTTCTCACTCAAGAAGGAACTTGGACACCTACTCCAAACTATACTTCAATGACTTCAATACTCCAGCTGGGAGAGAGTTCATTCACAATGATAAAGACCCGTTCAACATCAATGTTCCAGCCCCGTCTCAATCGAGGATGGGTGCAGGCTTACCAAGAACAGGCCATGCAGGCAACTATGGAACAGTTTTGAATACAAATTCTCAGACTGTATCTTTCGGAGGGGCCGAAAAACCAGTCCAGAACTTCAGCAGACCCACGATGGATCCACTATCCTACGGCAGAACCCAATTCGAGAAGGATGCATCAAATGCAATGAACCAAATTGGTTAGCAAATTCTTCCTAATCTCTAGATGGCATGATCAACCCAGCGGATGGGTATGAAACCCATGAAGCCATGAATAAGAGCTTAAACAACATGCAGCCTCTCAGTATGGAGGACGACCTACAAGCAGTGACTCAATCAATTCCGATTGAAGATCCACATGATAAGATCCACAATGATGATCTCCAACAGCTTGACAACGTCTTGGAGTCTCTTGGCAATGCATAATTTCAATCATTTAAATATGCCTTGGGGTTTTGGGGTTTTGGGGTTTTGGGG